GAGTGGAACTGGACCGTAAGTTAGGTGTGTTGTGCATTCAATGTGAAAGTGTGTAATCGATCGCGTGAAGCGATATTAAATGATTGAAAAACAAGTGGATTGTGTAACTACCCGGACCGCACAGCGAGACTTGGCAAATACAATTAGGCAACGTATAGATGATTTGTATCTGGTTTGCAATAACTTTGTTGAGGCTACTTGTTTGGTTAGTTGCTTCTGCCTGATTGTTTGTTCTGGACTCCGGATTAACATGTCGGAAGAGGACTTTACTGTTATAGTAGGTCAGGGTCTTGGTTCTATTCCTTGTTGAGAGCTAGCAAACTTAACGTCTTCATCGCTGAGTTTTGTAAGATCTGCGACTTAACTGTAGGTCAGGTCGTTGGGTTCCCAGAAGATTATCGCAATTCTTGTATTTGTTGTTTTAACGAACTTAATCGTTTTTTAAAACATATGAACATTAAACTGTGCATAATTAAAATAAACCGCCACGGTGGTCTAGCGGTTAGAACGCTGGCCTTGTAATCCTGGGGGTCTCGGGTTCGATTCACGGCGGTGCCCGAATTTATAACTTGTGTTGGGCAAGGCCGTGGTCTAGGCAACACGGAGTTTTCCTCCGGGGGCTTCCCCGGATTCTCCGTGGCATCCCAACAATTACTCCATTCACACACAGAAGAAGGCAATGGCAAACCACTTCTGGATCATCTGCCAAGAACGTATATGAACAGGTCCCAGTCCGAGAAAAGGATGGAAGGATCCTGTTCATATGGACCTGTCGTCAGACAGAACACTAAATAAATAAATAAAAATAATTAAAATAAATAAAATTTTCAACTTATACTTCATGAATCTACTTCAACCTTAACTACCCACGCCAATCGATCAATCCAATTTTCTAAGAGGTACACACCTATTCATAGACAAATCCTTCCACTCACTAATTTACCACCCACCCATTCATTCTTATGCCCTTTCATTTCTTCGTCTATCCGTTCCCATATTTATTCGGTTTACCCATCGATCCATTATCCTTATCTTTATTTTTTTCTCTCTCACCTTGTTTATTAATTTATACAGAATCGTAATTGATTTTATATTTTAGCTTATTATTTGGAATAAACGTCGACTCAGAAAGCTTCTGATGCTAGTAATTACACAGGCAAGGAACCGGAACACAAAGCTGCTTTACCACGGCTTCGTAGTTTGTGACGCCGATGTACGAGGACGGTCAATAGCCCGCAGGACATGCGGTTGTTGGGAAAACACTTGAAATTCAATAGCTTCGTTTTGCCAGAACATCGGATGGACGCGAAATACGTTGATTATAACTTAAAAATCTTTTTTTTATATTCAGTGAAGTGGATCGGATTCTAATCAAGTAGCTGTAACAAAAAAATATGCAAAATATTCCCTACGGTGAAATTAAAAAACTCGTGTTTCGTTTACGCATGACGCCTGTCACTTGTCTACGTAGTCTGTGACTTACGCAACGTGTTTTAAATCGACCGGATATTTACTACAAGCCTGTTGTTTTGTATGGGTGCGAAACATGGTCACTCACTCAGAGGGAGGAACACAGATTGCATGTGTTTGAAAATAGGGTGATTATAAGTTAGATTTGGTGGCAGTGCAGGAAGTGTGATGGGAGGGGAAGGCGCGATCCCAGTGGAAAATTTCACGTTGTACTCCTTCCCCAATATTGTCAGGATGATTAAGTCGAGAAGAATGAGATGGGCAGGACATTTGGCACGCATGGATGGGACAAGAGGTGTGCACCGGGTATTGGTTGGGAAGCCTGAGGGGAAGAGACCGCTGGGGAGACCTAGACGTACATGGGAGGATAATGTATGGCGGGATCTATGGGAGATAGGAGTTGAAGGAGACTGGATTTTGTTGGCCCAGGACAGGGTCCGGTGGAGGGCTTTGGTTAATTCGCGATGGACCTTCGGGTTCGGTGAGCTATCTAGTTAGTTAATGAAAGATGATCTCCGATGCTTTCGATGGCACAAACTTGTTAAGTATTGTTGTTGAACTAGTGACTAGCTCGATATTGTTAAGTTTTATTCATTTGACGTATTTCTGTAAAGGTTATCTTTCAATTTTTTCGGTTCTCATCTGGATTATAACGCTATGTAGTCTTGTGGGCCATAATTGACACTTTCACCTACCTTCAGCCTTCATTGAGGACATTACCATCTCGAGGCATGAGCCGGGATATTTCAGTCAGTCCCCGACGGTGACAGAGATTTTTCCTCTAGCCTCCTCTACAATGGGTACCGGGGTCCTTTCCCGGGGTAAAGCCGGCCGGGGCGTGATGCTGACCACTCACCCCCATCTAGTGCCGAGGTCAAGGAAGAGAGGAGCTATACCTCCTCTCCCCCCAAGCGCCTACATGGCGTATAGTGGGACAAACTTTACTTTACTTTACTTTACCATCTCGAGGCGAGTACAATCAGATACGCCAGATCACAAAGGCCAAAATAAAGAGAAGACTCACAATATACGGCTCATGTAATGTTCAGTTGATCGAGAAATGAAATATCTGTCTTCATCATGAATCTTGTAACTGATTATAGTTTGTCTTAATCGATGGCGAGATTTCAGGTTCTCACGGATATGGGTATAAACATGGCTATCTTCTGGGATGTTGCTTGGCATATAGTTAAATTGCTACAAGTCTGTACATGGCCGTCAATTTTGAGCACAGATGCAATCAAACTTAGAATCACAACGTTTTTCAGAAATGCTTACTGTTTTAATTATGCCCTGATAATATATTCGGCAGTAGATACCTCTGCAACGTCAGCAAACCTACAGACTACACGGCTCAACAATTCAGAAAACAGCCATCTTTACACAAAAGCCTCTTTCCAGACAGATGCTGAGTAGTTGCGTTATGATACAGAAATTCATTTTTTGAGTACTGATCGACAGAACATGGGGGCGATTCGAGGTTACCAATCCCCGAATTCAATGTATTTCTCTCATCGTGATGATTGCCACCTATTCCCATATATATGAGGTTATTTTATTTATTTATATATTATTTAGTGTTCTGTCTGACGACAGGTCCATATGAACAGGATCCTTCCATCCTTTTCTCGGACTGGGACCTGTTCATATACGTTCTTGGCAGATGATCCAGAAGTGGTTTGCCATTGCCTTCTTCTGTGTGTGAATGGAGTAATTGTTGGGATGCCACGGAGGAAAACTCCGTGTTGCCTAGACCACGGCCTTGCCCAACACAAGTTATAAATTCGGGCACCGCCGGGAATCGAACCCGAGACCCCAGGATTACAAGGCTAGCGTTCTAACCGCTAGACCACCGTGGCGGATATATGAGGTTATAGGGGTTAATTTTTGCTGTGGAGCGGGTTTTCTGTCATTACACTACTGTCTGCAGAAGAGGCTTTGACACGTTAAATATCTACTCCGACAGAGTACAACTTTATGTGTAGGATTTGGGGTTCTCACGGCGTTAAGTACATGGCTGTCTTCTGGTTTGTAGTGCCGTGTAATCTGGTAGAAATTTACCAACATTTCAAGTACCAGGGACCTCTGAAACGTTGATAAACTTCTACCAGACTACACGGCGCTACAAACCAGAAGACAGCCATCTAACTGGATGTGTGTCGCCAAAATAGATTTTCAGAACAGCGTTAATAAGATTTATACATGAATGAATGATTCACAGATTTCTCTTGATGCTCTGTTAAAATAACACTGTCACTTAGTCGCCTCTTAAGCTAATTAAAGATATTGTACCAGTTGATCACGTTACTCATATGTAGTGTTAGTAAGATTTGAAGATAACTGTGAGTATATAACTTTGAAAGAAGCTATCGTTGCCTATTTTAAGGCGAATATCGCTGTAGAATGATTGGTATTCTTACTTCATATGAAAGAAGGGCTTGAATTTCAACACGGTGACTAGTTGTGCATATAGAGATATATCTGTGTTTTTCTCAGTCTTACCAGGAACTTACTGTGACCGTAACTTAATTAGAATAGGCCACGATCGATTAGTTTTAAAAAAAATCATTTTATCATTTATGCTGTTTGGTTCCATAATTATTTCAATTGAAACACCTCATAATATAATTAAAAATCGATGGAAATCGACAGAATTTCGTCATTACGTACTATGTTATCGGATGTATTTAGTCGGATTTCCTGCCATGTAGTAATAAAGTCCTATACCAATAAAGCCGCCACGGTGGTCTAGTGGTCAGAACACTAGCCTTGTAATCCTGGGGTCCCGGGTTCAATTCCCGGTAGTGCTCAGATTTATAACTTGTGTTGGGCAAGGCCGTGGTCTAGGCAACACGGAGTTTTCCTCCCGGGGGCTTCCCCGGTTTCTCCGTGGCATCCCATTCACACACAGAAGAAGGCAATGGCAAACCACTTCTGGATCATCTGCCAAGAACGTATATGAACAGGTCCCAGTCCGAGAAAAGGATGGAAGGATCCTGTTCATAGGGACCTGTCGTCAGACAGAACACTAAATAAAATAAATAAA